AAGAGCGTCTCGTCCGACCTCGTAATTGTTAGATTCCAGTTTCTCCCTCTACAACAAGATATCCAAGATGATGGTGAGAGTGACAACTGTTCAGCTCACTGCTCTTTATGTCTCAGCCAAATAAAGTTGGGAGAGCAATCAGGTAAAAACATAAAAAAAACAAAAATTAACCAATATGTAATGTTTTATGGGGTCAGTGTTCAGAAGCACATGCATATAAAGAGAATCATTCCGAAATGTGAAATGTGATTGCACTATTGCTCCAACTTTTATTGCTTGTTGGCCCCTTAAAACTTTATTGGACAGTTATGCTATGCACCATCATTACTCTACTGTACAATACCAGTAAGGAGGGAAGATGCTTGGAACAAGATATTGTTTACACAGTGGCTATAAAAATTACATTTATTGACGTATTTTAAACTGTTTTTTAAACATTAAATCATGCAGTGGGCATAAAGCTTGTTTGACACTGATCAACAAAGTCTGAGATCAAAGTAAAACCAAATAAAACCAAGCCCTATAACTGATCTTAAATAAATATGTAACACATATACAGACAAGTGAAAAATTGAAGGAACGGCAAACATAAAGTGCCTCAGTAAGGTGCTGGGCCACCACACGCCACCAGAACAGCTCCAGTGCACCTTGGCAGTGAATCTCCAAATCTGAACTCTACTGGAGGATGAACACTGTTCTTCCAACAGATATTCCCTCATGTGGGGTTTTGATGGTGGAGATGCCACCATGTCGCTCTGACATCTCCTACAGCTGGGTTGAGATCTGGTGACCGTGAAGGCCACAGCATATGATTCACATCATGTTCATGCTCATCAAGCTGTTCAGTGACCCCTCGTGTCCTGAGGATGGGGGCACTGTCATCCTGGAAGAGACCAATCATTTGCTCAAGTTTTTATTTAATGTGTCACCTGTTAATCTAAGTGGGGGTGAGTATTTTCTAGGCACTTTATGTCATCGTGTTGCACATGCATGGAAATAATCAAATAGTTAAAGTGTGATTTAAAAATCCTCCCCTGTGGACCGACGCCTATTGTCCTGGTGGGCATGGAAGGATTCAAAGACAGGTTACGACTCTCACCGATACTGGGCTATAACGACTCAGTCATTAAAGGACATTGTTGTGCACAGACATGTTCGCTTGTCTGTGTGTCAGCCCAGTGTTAGACAGGCAAGCTGTGCACCCCACCTCTCACCCAGTGTTGATGGGGGTTGATTCCAGTTCCCCCCAACCCCCACCTCAGCAACACGACCCTGCACCCTAGCTGCACTGGTTTTCAGATTTCTAGGGGTTCCTGAAACTAGATATTTGTACTTGTTTCTAAAAACCTCAGGAAGTGAAATTTTCCTGTTCTGTTGGCA